TTTTTTTTTTTTTTTTTGTTTGTGCTTAAAAATCAGTTTTGTGTTTTTGAATAATTTGGCCTGATTCCTCTGCCTTATGCTGGTTTTTTGGTTTTTTTTGGTTTTTTTTTTTAAATTGCATTTCTGTCCTTTCCTCTGCCATTACCTTCTCTTTGGCTCAGGCTTATATTAGAGACTGGCTGGACCAGTGTTTCAAACCCGAGTGCCCAAATCTCATCACTGAACTTCTTGCAGATGCACCTCCACAGAAATGGCTTCACTTTTTCCATGTGCTCCATGCCATGTCACACTTTGCCTGGTGAAGCCCAACCAGGCAAGCTTCTCACCTCTTAAAGAGAGTTTTTTATGGAAAATTGAACATAGATCCTTGCGTTACCTGGATTTGAAAATGTTGGGATGCAATTGTTTTTGACTGTGTTCAAATGAGAGGCCATTCAGCATTTCTCTCTTCCCTTTTTTTTTTATTTAGAGAAAATCATGACTTTTTTTTTTCTTTGTTGTTATGTTTTGTTTTGTTATTTCAAGCAGACAACTTGAAGGAAAATAAGGAGAGTTGGTAAATATCTGAGACACCTCTACTTTGAAAATTTTATTTGCTTCTCCCTCTGTGTCCTTTCCTGTGGGTGAGTGGTGGTGGGTCAGACTGGCAGGTCCCTGCTCCCATCCCCTCCTCCAGCCTGGTTCCCATGCTCTGGCCAGCACAGGGCTGGGGTCAGTGCTCCAGCAGCAGGAACAGGAGAGAGCACAGTGAGAGCTGAGTTAGCTGCCTCGCTGGCTGCACCACATCAAAGGGCAGTGTGTGTCCAGCTGCTGAGGGGGCTGGGGACGGAACATGGGGGTCAATCCAGAAACTTAATTTTGGGCCTAAAGAAATGAGAGGACAGCGTGGATCCCCTCACCTCCATGATCTCCTGTTCCCACAGCAGGGTCTGTTAGAAACAACTAGCTATTGTTGTTGCCCTTCCTGAAATGCCTACCATAGCTGGACAAGGGATAGATTATTTTTTTAATTTTTGGGGGTTTTTTTATGTCACTATAGGAAAGTAAACACATCAGCAACAGCACTGAAATTAAAGCAATGAAATGAATTTGAATACCCTGCTCCAAGGAAATCGCAAACACTCTTCCCAGGTCTGGGCAAGAGGTACAAGGGATGTTATCCTACAGGGAAGGAAGCATGTCTCTGACATTTTCCTTTTCTGTGCCCCTTGTTTGTCTCCTCTGCAGGCCACACCGAGAACTTCCAGGATGCTTTTGACAGGCAGTCGCTGGTTCTGGATAAGCTCCCCCTGGCTTTCTATGCAGGCATGTTCGCATACTCCGGCTGGTAGGTGCGATGGGAGGGCACTTCTCGGGCAGCAGACAGGTGCCCTCAGCACTACTCAGACTCTCACCCCGTCTCTTCCCATCGTGCAGGTTTCAGACCAGCTTTGTGCGTGAAGAGTTGGTCAAACCTGAACGGTAAGGCTGGGAGGAAGCTGCCCTGGGCTACCAGCCTCGGGGGTCCCGCAGCTTTCCCAAGTGCAGTACAGGAGGAATAAGTTTGTGGGTTTACCTGACTGCAATCGATTGTACTGCCAGATAAAATCTGCAGTAATGCTGTGCACAACAAGGAATATCAGCTTGTTCTTTGTGTGCGTGTGTGTTCCCCTTCCTTCTAGAAATATCCCCTTGGCTGTCATCGTGTCCGTGATCTCGGTAATTGTGGGGTACATGCTCACCAACGTCTCCTATTACACGGTCCTGGGAACACAAGATGTTCTGGCTTCTCCTGCTGTGGCTGTGGTGAGTTGTTATTGCTGTTGTTATCTCTTCAGTGTGGCAAGTTTACGCTGTGGTCATGGCAAGTCTTTCAGAGATGGTTTTCCTATAAAATGCTTTATTGCTTTGTAATTTCTCTGGATTACAGGGCAACAGTAAATTCTTCTTGTCATGCCTAAAACATAATGAAAAAGTAATCTGCAGATGACAGTAGAAAAAGTGAGATTTATGATTTCTATATTGCTCCTTCAAGGGAAGAACTTTTAATTTTTTTGACCCTGATGTCACCTGGAGATCACCACATTTTCCCTAAAGTCATGTTTGCTTTTCCTCCAGAGCTTTGTGCAGCGAGCCTTCAAAAGCCTGATCTCCGTGGTCCCTGTCCTTGTCGCACTGTCCTGCTTTGGAACCATGAATGGAGGAATCTTCACATTTTCAAGGTCACATCCATAATGATCTGTTATGCTTTTGGCTTACTGAATCAGAGGGAAGTGTCACCAACCTGTGCAACTACCCATCCATACAGTGGCATTTTAGCCACTCTTGTGGGAAAAATAAGGCTTTTGACTCTCAGGTTGTCAGGTACAGGATGGTCCCTTTTGGCTAAGAGTCTGCTTTTTCTGTTTCTGACCAGGCCCAGACTTTGGTGTCTAGGACTGGTCACAAACAAAGATTTTTATCTTCTCCTCTACCCTTCAGTTTAAATCCCCAGTTTAAACTGAAATGTTAATGTTTCTGGTGAACTAAAGGCTTTGTTGATGTTGGCAGCTGCTCAGTGAGACTGAGTCTTCTTTCACTGGGTTCACCCAGCTGTGCTGCTGGAGGGCATGGGGTCCCTCTGCTGTGAGGCTCTCTAGGCAAACTCTCCCTTGAGGACTTTGCTTTGAAGTCAGTGAAATGTCATAGAGATGGACTATTCCTAAAGCAATAGTCAAGGTTCAAGAAGTCTTGTTATAGCAATAAGAAAAGCTTTGTTCCATGGAAAAATAAACTTGCCAGCTTCGCTGTCTGCCACACTCTGTGTCCTTATGGGAGCCTTGAAATTGGAGAGGAGGGCAGACCTTGTGAAGATGTGGTGTTCATCCTGTGAAGCTGAGCAAACCCTCTGCCGCGGGTTCTGCTTCACAGATTTGACTGCAAAGGGAAAAATCAGTTGTTCTGAAAGGAATATTTCATAGCCTGAAAGCTAATGAATTATCTGATCTGCTACCCTGAAGTCCTGTGTTAAATACAGGTGTGGATGAGCCTTCCCATTCACTGCTCTAGATAATGGATTTCTTTGAGGATGAGAAATCTCTGGACAGCACAGAGGTTCTTCATGTCCCCTGCTGACCTTCTCTCCCCCATCCTGGCATCATTACCATAATCACTGCAGAAAGTCCATATAAACACTGATGGGGCCTCCCTGGCTGCCTGCCAGCCACACCCCTGCAAAGCCACAGAGACAGCAATAAAGCCAGTTGTACACTTGTGCCCCAGCTGCTTGGGGCCCTGCTTCAGCCCAGATGATGCTCTGGCATGGTTTCTTTGAGGATATTAAATTTATAAAATTGGATGTGATTGTGTTCTCCGTAATTGCTCTTTCATGAGTCAAAGGAGGGATGCAAACAAGGAACTCTCCGCTCTCATTTTGTAGTTGTTCTTGTGTGTAGCTGGTCTCTTGGCAGCAGGACAAACTTTATTTTCCAGCAGCTGACCAGAGGATTGGAAATCATCTGTCATTTGAGAAGATTGTGCTTTATTTTTTCTATATTTGTACATATAAGAATATAGACTTCAAAGCTGACAATCCCCTTTCATAAACTCAACAGTTTCTCTTATATAGGATTAAAGTTTGTGACCCCTCCACTTCCTTTTCATTGGAAAGATTAATTCCTTTTTTTGATGGCAAGAGACTTTCTTCTTACTCCTGTTTCCAGTCTGGGCTCATTCACGGTCACTTCGGACTTGCCCAGAGGTCCCTGCTAATGATGCACCCAAGGAGCCACTGCCAGTGTTCTGATGGTGGGCTCTGATCTGCATTGAACTGGTCTTGGGAGAGCTATGGGAACTCAGCCTTGGTTTTCTTCCAAACGCCCCTAAAATGGAGCTCTGAGCAACTTGGTCTGGTGGAAGCTGTCCCTGCCCATGGCAGAGGGGTGGGTTCCAACCCAACCCAAACTTTCTATGAAGGTGCAGATAAAGGCAGGACTGTGGCCTTGAATAGCAGACTTGTGCGGGGGAAGGCAGCGGGTGTCTTGATGCCTCAGGTCAGTCCAGATCTCATTTCTAATGTGGATGTAGAACGTTAATGTAAAGGGCTCCTTGTCTTTTCCTAGGACTCTGTTTGTGGCTTCCAGGGAAGGGCAGTGGCCTCCTCTCTTCTCCATGATCCACATTCGAAGGCATACCCCCCTTCCCGCTGTCATGTTAATGGTGAGGAGATCTGGCTGTGTGTGACATGCTCTGTTCTTTTGCTGTCTTGTCTTTCTTGCAATGAGTGGATAAACTGAGGTGTTTTAAAGGGTGTTGAGACATTAAATTACCCCCTGAAAAATAAAGAAGGCAGGATACAGGAAATGGCTGCAAAGTATTAAGTCCCCTTGAGCCAGTAGTGGTATCCAAATGTACAACCTTGAAGTCCCTGCCTTATAACACCTTTTTTAAAAGTACAGTCCCTACTGTCTGCCACAGGTGTGCTGCTTGATATAGCCTTATGAGAACACCTCTGCCAGGCTTGGCTATTTGGAAACTGAAAATTCCCAGGTGTGGTGGAAATGCAGGGAATGAGCATTTGTAGAGATGATCTGGTCTCATGTTTTGGTTTGTTCAGGGATTTTTTAATGGCAATGGTCCAGCTCCATCCCAACAGTGCTGCAGTGCCTGTTTCAGCTTGGCTGACCTGCTGAAAACTTAGCAGATGTCATTGTAGACAGCCTGTGTACCAACAGTGCAGGCTTTTGGATCATGCATGTTTTAATTGCCCTGGCTTGGACATGAAGCATCAAAGATGCTGCTGATCTTGAAATGATCACTCTTTTCTGTAGCACTACAGAACAGTGCCTTTAGGTCTTTTGCCTTCAGTCTGTGACACTGTTTTATAAAGCTCTCTGACCTCCAAAACGTTGCAGCTGTGATGTAGTTGCAGGGGGGCTGGAGGAGGTGATCCACGGCTTTAATGACTGTTTTTCACGTTCACAATGCTCAGTTCCCTTTGGTCACTGCCATGGTGTGCATCGGAGACATCTACCATCTACTGAACTTCTTCAGCTTTTCCCGATGGCTCTTCATAGGATTAGCCACCCTCGGGCTCATCGTCCATCGGCACCGTCACCCGGAGCTGCACAGCCCCTTCAGGGTAAATGCACAGCACCTACCTGGCAGCCTGTGCAGGCCTGTCATTCCTCTCTTTGATTTGCTAATAATTACAGCATTACATGGCTATGGCTGCCTTTAGGCTCTAAGGGGTTTCAGTCCCTGATGCTTAGCAGTGCCTGTGGGGAGCTCCTGAAAGTGGTTGATGTGCCCAAACAGCCAGATGTGGTAAATCCTATAAGCCAGTTCTACACCAAGTCACCAGATGCATCTGTTAGAAGACTGCTTGCTACAGGGGACATCATGGAAATCTTGGAAATCAGGGAGATGTATGGAGAGCGGTTCTCTCGCTCATCTCTTGTGGGCTACAAGAAGGGACTTTTGCCTGGATGTTATTTCAGTGATAGGTAAGTCTCAGCTCTAGCTGAGAATCAGGAAGGTGTCAGGCTTGGGGGAAAAGGAGCATGGGTGGAGGGATCCTGGGAGCAAACCTGACTTGGGAGGAATCATCTGCTGATATGGAAGTATTGTCTTGTGTAAAGCAGTGGGCCCCTCTTACGGTCTCTTTCACTATGCTGGGTGCTGGGATCCCCCTCATGTCAGCAGGGGATGCTGGAGCTGGTGCTGGAGCAGCTTTCCTGTGCTTGGGCACCTTTTCCACTGCCAGATAATGAATGTGCAGAAGGCATTAGGCTGGGGGGGGGGTGCTTGAGGCGGGCTCAGTTTGTTCCTGACTCTGGTGGCCCCTTCATGGTGCCTCCAGCCAGAGGAGGAAGAGAGGGGACCTCCGGGGCCACTGGGCAGTGAGGAGCTCGGGGGACAGAAACACTTCCTGCAGCTCGCAGGGCTCCCCTCTATGGTCTGGGAACATCCTCCTGCAAAGTTCGGGGCAATTTTTCCTCTCGGTCTTTGCATTTAGCAGAGATCTTGAGGCTTCCCAGTTTGTTGGTTGGCTGCACTCATGTACTCCCCCAGAACCAAATTGAGTAAGTTTTTAGTTTTTCTTTCAAACCAAGCTTCTCAGGGAAGATTTATTAATGGGTGGCACTGCTGATGGTTTCAGATGCCGAGGTTTTGCCCTGGTTTTCTTCAGACAAAGATTCAGACTTCTAGCGGCTCCTAAATGCTGGCTAAGCGAGGGAGGGAAATACTGGCCTTTGGGTCAGTTCGGCTGGTTTCCCCTGCCTTTTCCCAGTGTTTATGGGATCCGTGCGCGGGTGGCGCGGGCACGTGCTGCACTCTAGTGGCCGCACGCGGGCTGTCCCCCGCCGCTGCCCGGCGGAGAGCAAAGCGTGGCACGCGTGTGACAATGCTGGTACTTAGGCTCTCCGTAGCATTTTGAGTTAGAAACGGCGAGAAGACACCGGAAAGAGCAGGGAGCAGTCGGCTCGCACACCTCTCAAGCAGACGTGCAGCGTGTGTGCATGTAGGAGTGGCTGGCAGGGGGTGCTCTGGCTCGGAAGACAACAAGGGTACCTAAGTTTGATGGCTGGATGCCTGCCATACCTAGAGCAACTGATCTCTTCCAACTTGGCATGTTGAGCATCCAAAATACAATCTTTATTACTGCTAAAGATTGTCACCCTATATGAGAGCAGCTCCTTCATTCCATCAGCCGTGGCAAGGAGTTACTTGGCTGAGTTTGGATCCAGAGACAGAGGGAGTGTTTCACAGTTTTATTATTTATTGCAGTCTTCCTATTTGCTCTCCAAATAAACCAGATGAATTGACTCACCCAATAGGGTATGGCTGAAGTGCTGAGTGCTGCTTTGATTTTCACCATGGTGTTGCTGAAGCTGAAGTTCTTGGCACAGGTACTACAGAGATGGGGATAGGGAGTCTGGTTTGTCATGGTATAGTCACTCTAAGTCTCTGGCAAACTGGAGGCGGGTCAACACAAGTCATGCGTTTTATAAGCAAAGAACAGTTTGATTCAAAGTGTCACTTCTTTTTTTGGCTTCAAATTTTCCCTCAGCAGTTACCTTAGGTGGCAAGAAGGTTTGTGTGCGTGCACAGGAGCAGGACATTCACAGCCGTGGGGTGTAGGTGGCTTCTCCCCCTGCTTGGCTCCCAGTCGCAAGTGAGGTTTAGATTTTGGTGCACATGAATATAGGAGGCATGCACCTCACAGGGCACACTGGGCTCTGAAGCTGATGCAATTGTTTGCAAGTGTGATTGTACAGAAGCATTCTGTGGGACAGGATATGATTCTTCTCATTTTCTTTAGAAGGAGAAATGAATACAATGTGGGCTGGCACATGCAGAGTCTGATTGGCTATAGCCACCAGTTTTCCCTGATAGTCTTCTCTGCTCTTTTCCCCAGGTTCCCCTGTTTGTTCCTGTCTCTTTTACCATCATCTGCCTCTTCACGGTGGCAATGTCTTTCTACTCTGACCCTGTGAGCATTAGCATTGGATGCACCATGGTTTTGAGTGGTTTTCCAGTCTACTACCTCATAATTCACAGGCAGATGTCAGACCGCTGCCGCAACCTGTTCTGTAAGTATGCACTTTCAGTATTGTGGACCTAAACATGCTCAAGGGTTGGGATGCTGGTTTGTTCTTGTCATTTCTGTTCCGAGTCTTGCTTTCTTTTGATTTTCTGTTGGATGGAGGTACATAGGTAACCACTGAATAGAAGAAAGCACATAGCAAGAATAGGAAACAGATACTGTGATCTGCCAGCATAAAAGGCTCCAGCCATCAGTGCTGATGCTCTGATTTTCAGCCATATCTCAGGATTTCCTCTGGACTAAGCTTCCTTCCTTTTTTTCCACCCTTTCAGATTATTTTACACATAAGCTACAGTTGCTGCTGGAAGTTGTCCAACAAGAAATCAAGACTTACTGAGAAAACCATCAGAACTCACAGAAGACAATAAAAATCTACTTACACCATTTTTGACACCTTTGATTCTACCAAAAGCAGGCCATGCTTTTATTCTTTTTAGTCAGTGAAAATGAGGACAACTCTGAGCCAAAACCTTGCTGCAAGTGTTCCTAAGCTTGCCAATAGGGATCTGATCCTGCCCTTTCATTTTTTTCAGGAGAGCAAACTAGTTGTCTGAAATGAGCTTGCTTTGCCTGCAGTGTCTTTGAAACCAAGATCCTAATTTATCCCAGTCCTGAGTAAAATTGAGTATGTGTGTGTACAGAGACAACATTTTGTTTTCCTAGCTTGGCAAACAGAGGAAGTGGGCATGTTGCAGAACTTAGAGTCCAACACATGGAAGCCAAATGCAAGTTTCAAACAGAACTATAGCAGCTTTGTTGTGGACAAGGGGAAGGGTTGGGGAGAGTGAATTAGAGATAAGGCAGATGAATTGGAAAGGGGAATGCAGGGGGATAAAATTTTATTCACCTGAAAGTGCAGATTGAGCTAATGAGAAGATATTTGAAATTCGAGTATTAACAAAGTAAGGTCAGAATTATTTGTTTTGATTTTTGTATAAGCAGAATGAGTTTTTTTTAGCTTTGAAATAATCTTTCAATTTTGAATTTTACTTTTCTGAAATTGCATTTTAAAATGTACAGATACATTTACAAAAACCCAAACCAAACAGTTAAATATCAACTAGAATATCAACAGAATAGAGTCCTGGTCCCTCTCCCAAATTCCAAGACCCACTCCTCACCAGTGAGGTTGAAAACTCAGAATTTGGCCTAGCTCCAGTGAGATAAAATTCCTCTTTTAATTAGACAGGACCACTGATGAGGTTTGGGCAGATTCCTGAATAAGTGCATCTTTTGGTGCTGTAAGAAGACATGAGTAACTTCACATCCAAGCTTTAATTTGCCAGTTGCACATGACTTGCTGATTTAATCCATAGATGCTCATTTGAACTAATGGCATAAGAAAGGTTTCCATTATTGGATTACTTTGGTTTACATTATTAATGTGGCAATGTTATGTCCAGATAAAACAGCAATTAGCTATTTACAATCATGTAATTGTTAATCAGTTCCTAAAAGACGGGAAGTAGCATGCTGAGATTCCTCTAATGATTGCTGGAAAGAGGAACAGCAGAATGTAGTGGAGCATTTTTTAATCCTTTGTATCAAACATTTATGTACTCAAAATAAAAACAAAGTACCATTTACAAATCCTATGTAATCTACTAAAACGTGTAAAATTGTGGAACTAAAGCTGGGTTTTTTTCAAAGCAATTGAGAATTATTATTCTTGTAATGATTGCTTCCTGTTCCTGTACTGAATTAAGCTGGGACAGCAGCAGTGTGGTTACAGGGCTTGTTTCCCCACTACCCTCCCACAATTTAATTTACCAGCTGCTGGAGATTGTCCAACAGGAGATACAGTCTCACTGGGAAAATCCTCACAGCGGAAACCATCACAACCTACAGGAGAAGGTACTGGCTTTAAATGATGAAATGAATTCAAGTGAGATCTGGAAATGCTTCCAGGGTCCCAGACAAGAGCCAGTCCCTCCTCATGCCAGGCTTTACTGAAGCTGAACCCCCTGGTACAGCTTCCCACAGCACCCCACTGGTGGAGCAGGACCCAGTATGGGTGGCTGGGGAACCAACCTGCAGAAGACCTTGTAGAACCAGGTGAGATCAATCACCCCAACATTTCCTGAGTCCACCCACTTAGGTACGGGTACAAGGCAAATGTCCAGCCTGGATGGGTAAGGAGGTTTTGGAGGAACTTAGGAACAAAAAAAGGATGTGTCATCTTTGGAAGGAAAGTCAAGTCTCTCAGGAGGTATTTAAGGGGGCTGCTAGAGCATGTAGGAAAAATAACAGAGAGGCCAAAACTCAGTTTGAACTTAAAATGGCAACTTCTGTAAAAGACAATAAAAAATGTTTTTACAAATATATTCATAGTAAAGGAAGATTAAGACCAACCTTTGTTCTTCATTGGATAAGGGAGGGAACTTAGTAACTGCAGGTGAGGAGAAGGAAGAAGTACTTAATACCTTCTTTGCCTCAGTCTTCAGTGGGAAAGCAGCTTGCCTTCAGGACAACTGTCCTCCTGGGCTGGGAGATGGTGTCAGGGAGCAGAATGGCCCCCTGTTATCCAGGAGGAGGCAGTCAGAGAACTGCTGAGCCACTTGGATGTTCATCTGTCTATGAGCCAGATGGGATCCATCCCAGGGTGATGAGGGAGCTGCCAGATGAGCTTGCGAAGCTGCTCTCCATAATTTACCACAATCCTGGCTCACTGGTGAGGTTCCAGATGACTGGAAGCTGGCCGTTCACAAAAAGGGTGTGAAGGAAGATCCTGGTAATTATAGGCCAGTCAGTCTGGCCTCAGTACCTGGTAAGGTAATGGAGCAGTTTATACTGAGTGTCATCATGCAGCACTTACAGGATGGCCAGGGGATCAGACCCAGCCAGCATAGGTTTAGGAGGAAAGGCTGTGGATGTGTCTATTTGGTCTGCAGCAAGGCCTCTGACACTGTCTCCCACAGCACACTCCTGGAGAAGCTGGCATCCCTTGGCTTGGACAGGAGCACTCTGCTCGGTTAAGAACTGGCTGGATGGTCAGGTCCAGGGAGTGGTGGTGAATGGTGCTGCATCCAGCTGGCAGACAGTCACCAGTGGTGGCCCTCAGGGGTCTGGGCCAGGGCCAGTTCTGTTCAGTGTTTTTATTGATGACATGGATGAGGGTATTGAGTCCTTCATTAGTAAATTTGCAGATGACACTAAGCTGGGAGCATGTGTCGATCTGTTGGAAGGGAGGATGGCTCTGCAGAGAGACTTGGAATGGTTGGATGGATGGGCAAATGGGATGAAGTTTAATAAGTCCAAGTGCTGAGTCCTGCATTTTGGCCACAATAACCCAGTGCTACGGGATGGGGACAGTGTGGCTGGACAGTGCCCAGGCAGAAAATGACCTGGGGGTGCTGGTGACAGCCAGCTGAAGGTGAGCCAGCAGTATGCCCTGGTGGCCAAGAAGGCCAATGGCTCCTGGCCTGGATCAGGAATTGTGTGTCCATCAGGAGCAGGGAGATCATTCTTCCCCTGTACTCAGCACTGGTGAGGCCGCTCCATGAGTGCTGTGTCCAGTTCTGGCCTCTCAGTTCAGGAAGGATGTTGAGACGCTTGAGCACGTCCAGAGGAGGCAACGAGGCTGTTGAGGGGCTGGGAACACAAACCCTGTGAGGAATGGCTGAGGGAGCTGGGGTTGTTCAGCCTGGAGAAAAGGAGACTCAGAGGTGATCTTATCACTCTCTAAAACCTCCTGAGAGGTGGCTGTAGTCAGGTGGGGGTCAGTCTCTTTCTCCAGGCAGCAGCTGACAGAACGAGAGGACACAGTCTCAAGTTGCGCCAAGGGAAATTTAGGTTGGACGTTAGGAAAAAGTTCTTCATGGAAAGATTAATACTGGAATGTTCTGCCTGGGGAGATGGTGGAGTCACCATCCCTGGATGTGTTTAAAGTAAGACTGGATATGGCATTCGGTGCCATGGTTTAGTTGAGGTGTTAGGGCTGGGTTGGACTCGATGATCTTGAAGGTCTCTTCCAACCCAGTGATTCTGTGATTCTCTGTGATTTGGGGGATTTTACACACCTTAGGGTAGAAGCATGAGGTACTGCCAGCCTGGTCCCAGGCTGCAAGACCCATGTGAGCGCAGTGTGCATGTGTTGTAGCATCAGGACTCCCACATCAAACCTTGGAGCCGTCTAAAATTGCAACAGAGCTGCTGTGTGTCACAGAGGCACTAAGGGTGAAATGGCTCTTCTTTGTCTGTTTCCTCTGAAGAGGAAAAGCGAACAAGAATTTAAATTCCTGGGAGGAAACTAAGCGACGCTACCTGCTGGACCATGGTTTCTTTATAAAGGATAAATCATTTGACATATGCCGGGAAACCACACTTGGGTGCCTCTGCTGACTGTGCAGGAATATGATCTTGCAGGGCTATGCATAGGATGTCTGCTTCCAGACCTGTTCCATTCCCAGACTCTGGAAATGCAGACAGATGTAGTAGCATGGTTGAGAAATCAGAGGTTCAACAGCTCCACAGATGACATTGCAATTAAAAGTGATAAAAATAAAAAATACAATGTTCAAGGGTCAGTTTACAGTGATCTCGAGTTTCCAGTTTGTGGACAGTTGTATGTTTTTAGAGAACATGGTGTCCTGCTCCCAGCAAAGATATGTAAACATTTTCTACCAAGCCAGAATGATCTTCCTAAAGCTGTTGTCTCATGTCTACTTAGGCCTCAGAAGGCCTAAGAGCTTCAAGCATAGCCAGAAGTGAAAGAGAGTTCAACTTCATAATCACATTTGTGGTGTTGGTTTTTTTATTTGGGTTTTTTTTTTTGTGTGTGTGTGTGCTAGAGGTCTTTTTGTTGCTGTTGGGTTTGTTTTAATGCTATGTCTATAGAATGCAGTTAAAGTGCATACTTTCTGAAAACTCAGAGATTTATGTGTTTCAGTCACTATTGATCTGGTGTGACTGGATCACCAGGAAAGAAAAATCTTCTGGGCAGTTCAACTGAACAGAATCTGAGGGGAAAAAAAAAAAGGCCAGAGAAATGCTTTTGGCTTAACAAGTTTGCATGGTTAAGACTACTTGACCTGTTGTTAAGCTTTGTACCTCATAGCTCTGCTGGGAAGCTCTGTCAGCTTTTAAAAGGCTGTAGGTCAGACTGGAAAGCTCCTAAGCCTTGTCTGATTTTTGTGGGAAGAGCAGAGAGCAGGATCAGACTTCAAGGTACAGGAACACAAACACCTGAGACAGTGCAGAGCTCTGAGGGCTGAGCAAGCCTGTCTTGCAGGGCTCTGTGCTCAGCACACATAGGTTTGTGTGGCTCAGTATGGCTCTGCTTGCTGCAAAACCCCCAACAGTGCCATCATTAACCCTGGGGACAGCAGGATGAATGATGCACCCACTTTCTGCACCGAGATTTGGGGGGGGGGGGGGGGG